GGGGGGGGGATAGACTTAGAGATAGGTCCCGTCCAACAGTCCAAGCTCAATCAATTTTACAGAGGGGAAACACAGAAAAAAAATTCGGCAACCTCACATACGGGCCGGTCATCTCCTCACCGGCCATCCCAATATGGTCTCTCTGCTGGTACTATCAGTAGAGTTTTATCCCATACCTCAAGTGCAGCTCAACCGTCGCGAGCGCGGTCCCCAGGTCTCGGCAAGGCATTCGCCCTTTCCTCCTTACCCAGAATACCCCATCCCGTYTTGCCGCTTTGCACATCCATACCGACACCGAGGGTTACCTCGAGTGCCTAAATACAGGAACAAAGTCAGCCGTCCGGGCATTCACTTCCATCGGTCCGACAAGAATCAGCCTTTCCCAAAACCATGCTACGAGAGACTACTAATCGCCTCCGAGGCTCCGTCTTTGTCCGCATGCAGTGGTACTCCCTCCGCCAGCCAATAGGCTAAGCCCCGCCTGAGGAGATTTCACACCCCGTCCAGCAGATCATCGAGCCGAAGCCCGTCACCGCTCGAACGAGAATGTTACTAATCAACCGACGTGACAAACTCCCGTCCGACAGCTCGGTGGTCTGACCTCCACATACAAACACACGGAAGCCTACAAAAGAGAACGACGTTTCGCAACCCGTACTGGTCGGTGCAGACCAATCCTTTCCTTCCGAAATGCAGGATGCTCGAATCCCATCATGCCAACACAAGTCCCAAGTGGGACACACATAGTACAAATGTCATTCCCTTGGTGCACCCAGCGCTTCCTACTCATAACTCACAGATTTTCTCTCAGGACAATGAGTGTCACTCCCCCTACTTTCATACATAGTGGTTGGTTCCTTCTCGTGAGAATCTTCAAGGGTGAGCTAGTTTTCCTTGGAGTCTAGCAACTCTCTTCATTTCCCTTCTCTTCACTTGTCTGTCCTTTCATAGGGTAGGATTGTTCTTTCTTGATGACCCGTTGTGTTCATATTGGTTCCTTCAATCATTAAAAAGGTGTAAAGTGCATGAGCCCGCTGGGCTCAAAGAAGAAGGTGAAAGCACTCATTCGGTCCATGCCATGCGCCCAGCCACCCTCACATCTGATTTCTCACAAGGGAAAGAGCAAACACAAGTCCATTTTCCTTATCTTGGGTTGTGTACACGTCACTGCGTCGGGCACCCCCGTCGGAATCGCAAGGGTCAATTTAACCCCATGCCCGTCACCTCCACCATTTTTGTAGGGCCAAACCCCGGTAGACTTTCGAGCCTTAGTCGACCCCACTGCGGGTCCCTGTTGGCTCGGCCCGCCCACGCTCATGCTCGGGGCGCGGGCCGTTCGTCGCGAGGTCAACCCCACCTAGTGCTTTGAGATGGATGGGGTTGGGCCATTGCGCGAGAGAGCTTTGACATTGGGGATGTAGCTCAGCCCTCACGCCGGGTGGTAGTCTCGCTGGTCGTTCCGCAACGCTGATTTTTTTTTATTCTTTATTGTGTTCTCAAGCAATTGCTCCTTCCAATACGCAGGCAGTCCAGGGGTTCTTTTAGCGTTTCTCTTCTCTTGTGCGTAGGTTAAGCATCATCCTTAGGCCATGCACCATTTCCCTAAGCATTTTGGCTATATGGCGTCATCGGGGTGCGACAGGGCCGTCCTCCCCCTCGCCTCTACGCATCCATCGGATCTCACAATTTGCTTCCCACCTTATTGAAGTAGGCCCCTTATTCTTTTCGGGGTCCTCATATGCATGTACACACAACATGACAATTTCCTTAGTACGATTGCACTCTCAATCACACTTCCAAGTCTCAAGTGCAAAAGTCATTTTCATGAGTTGGCTTTATGTCAAGGGTCCCATAGGCCCTTTGTCCCTCTTCCCTTTCCCTCTTGGTGCCCAGTTCCTCTCGCCCTTATCCCGCTCAAGGCATTTATAGCCATTACTCACCTGCACAATCCCACACAAGCAAGAAAATCCATACAATGTCCCCATTGGGGGTCAACACATAGCCCTTCCCACATGTCTATCCTTTTCAATCCTTTGGCTGCTCTTTGTTCCCTCTCGATGCTCAATCAGCCCATTCTCTTCTCATAGTCATGCAGTCGGGGAAATGGTTGAGTCAAACTGACCTCTTTCTCAACTTATGCTTCCTTCCGGATCGCGCCTTTCTCCCATTTTTTCAAGCGTCCTTTCTTTTGCCTTCTTGGTGGCACAAGGGATCGGCTATCCTCCCCTTGTCCTCTTACTCCACCAAGTGAGGTCTGATTTCGGTCACCGTCCGTACCCTGGCAATGTTTCCAAGTGAGAGGAGAAGGGTTAGTCATATGCCAAGGGAGGGAGAGAGAGAGAGAGAGAGAGAGAGAGAGAGAGAGAGAGAGAGAGAGAGAGAGAGAGAGAGAGAGAGAGAGAATAAAAAAAAACAAGAAGAACCCCTAATCAATTCAGCCCCCCGTAACAGCAACCAAACGTCGACCAGCCGTTCCACAGCGAGAGATTGAATAAGTATATCTTGGAATAACTTGATAAGAAGAGGCTAGACCAATGAAAAACACATATTCCTAGGG